GCATCATATGTATGATTTGCATTTTCATACATGCAGAAAAAAATCATACATACATACATTTTTATTATATTATTATAAAAATGTATGTATGATCTGCATCTTCATACATGTATGGAAATAAAAATCATACGTTACATACATAAGGGTTCATACATTACATGTTTTCGTAACACCGATTATAATCTATTCATTAATGTTTGTTGATAATTTAAAATGATGCTTATAATTGACAAATTAATATTCTGATTTTTGGAATCAATTAATAATTTTGGACTATTCAAAAGCCAAAGTTCTGACTCACAAATTGCATATTGTTATTATGTAAAGACTTTAAAGATCATCAACTTCAAAATATCAACAATCTACATAGGAAACCCCGTTAATCTTGAACCCCGTTAACCCGAAAACCCCGTTAACCCGTTAACCCGTTAACCCCGTTAAAATGAAAATGTAGACATATACAAATTTACCCCGTTAATCTGAAGAAAAGTGGCTGCACAAATTAATGGGTTGCCTATGTACTACGCCTAAATTAACTCATTTGATTCAATCTTCACCAGAATTCGATTAATTAAACATATTATGCTACTACATGATTATCATCATCAATTTATAAATTTTTTTTTTGATCTTTTGCATCCAAAAATTTGTAATTCTGTCAATTCTTGGGTTAAGCTAATGATCTTGGACTCATTTGAAAGCCAAAAGTTCTGTCATTAATCATACTCACAAATCACATATTGTTGTTATATAGATTTTAAAGATCGTCGACAATTTAAAACATCAACCACTCACATTAAAGTTTCTTGATTTTTTTAAATTTTGATTAATTAATAAAATACTGAACTGAGTGAAATGGAAATACGCTCTATTAGAATGACCTTCTGCTCTGATTTATGCTTATGTGTATTTGCTGAATTGTTGTATATATTCTTGTACTTCAAATCCGACCCATATAACAAAAAAAACCAATATAATTATTTACTGATTTGTATTAAATACATTCCTTTATTAATATAGTGAGTTTTTTTAACCCATTAATTATTATTATTACCTTTAGCTTCCTTGGATGTAAATATATCCATTTATAAAGCTGATTTTATGGTGATTGTAATAATTAATCCAAAATTCACCATTCTAATTAAATTAAAGGATATTTATTAAAGAATTTGGGATGCAGATCATGGAAAATTGACCTAGTAATATATATAAAATATGCATTGCTCAAGTAATAATAATTGTTAATGAAACTTTAAAACCAAAAAAAAAAGGGTTTTTTTTCAACTTATATATTTGATAAATAATTAAATGAATAAAATCAGAATCACTAATAAATATATACCTTTTAATTTAATCATTACATTC